GCGGGAAGCGTGACCCCAGCGCCCTCACCACAAAAGCTGAAGGGAACTGAGGGGTGCAGAGCGCGCGAGTGTCCAATCACCAAGTGGACACCTTAGACGCACAGCACTCTCGCTTGCCCAGTGCACCTGAATCGCTTTCGGAGCGAAAACAGAGCCAAGAGAAAGGGGGCGGGGTAGACGTGCAGCCGGGGTTCACGGGCCCGTCACGTGCGCGCCCGTGCAGGTGTCCATCATGTATCTGTGACTGTGCACGTGCCTCCATCGTGTGGGCACCTCCATCACGGGAGTGCGTGCGTGTGCCTGTGTGAGCCTCCATCACGGGTGCATCCATGTAGGTCTCCCATGTATCTGTGACTGCGCATGTGCCTCCATCGTGTGTGTGCCCGTGTGTGTGCGTGTGATGGAGGAGGGTGCTGGTACCCGCGGATGGATCAGGAGGGGAGGAGCACTGGGAGGAGCCTGAGGACAAGGTGACCAGCACTGAGGCGGCCCCAGCAGGCTGTGCCTGTGCACGGCACGTGCACCAGCTGAACGTCTTCCCATCGGTCAGGATCAGTGGCTTCAAGGCGGCAGACTGTGGGCGACGTCCCTCTGCCCAAGCTGTCCTCCCCCCCAAGGAGGGCACAGAGCACCGCAGCAGCTCCTAGCCAGGCTGCAGTCTGCAGAGGGACCAACGTGCAGGGTAGAAGCGGATACTGCTGTGCGAGGCAGCGTCCTCCGGTGACATCTGAAGACACTGATAATGGCCATGGCGATCCTTGACCACGGCTCCACGTGGCCAGGAGGGGACGACGGATGCTTCCGGGATGTGGCACTTCTGCTTTTAACGTGAAACTGAGTTAGGCAGCGCTCCTGACTGGCTGGGAGCTGGAAATGTGGGTTGCTGTTTTCGTGTATTAAAAGTTGTTTCTCCAGATTTAGAGGATTTCGCAGAGATGACACCGCCCGATGCGGTTTAAGAGGATACAGCAATCAGGTCCTTCGGGTTAGGGTGCAGGGAGTTACGGGGGGTCACAGCCCTGTGAGGCGTTGGAGCCCATGGGGTCCCCAGGGTGGGGAGGAAGGGCACAGAGCCCTCGTCAGGTCCACTTCTTCTAAACAGCCGTCCACACAGGGGTAGAAGCTGTAACAAATAATTACAGTCAGACGCAGATGAAAATCAGGGCGTGACGGACGCTGCAGGCCGGTGAGTCGGGCACAGGCCACGCGAGCACATTCTGGAGAGACAAAAACTGCTCAAACTCACCGTTAAAATGCTGTTCCCCCAAACCCAGACTGTGAGGATAAAAAATTCCAATTCTGGTGTGTGGCCGCTGCTTGACACAATTTTTGGACTCTGTCTCCTGGAGCTGAAATTACCTTCAGTCCTACTTGTATTGTTTTACGATCACACCTGGTAAATGAAATCCTTATTACATTTCCCACTTCCAAGCTAGGATTTCCAGAATGCATTTGAAAACAACCCAATTTTGACACAGTGTAACACACTGCCGTTTCACAATTTCCTCAGCGACTATTTTTTTCAAGAACATTATCTTGAAACAAAATTGGCTTTGCGTTTCCTCCCATGGAATAGACACGCTGACTGAAAACCAGACACTTCAGAATAATAAAGCTACACGTTCGTAAGGTGAAAAAGAACTAATATCTGAAATGAATAAAATGCGGGGACGTGCGGGCAGCCTGGAAGGGACGTGGGAGCCCCGTTTCATCAGCACCCACTTTGTCCGCCTCTGGAATGGCACGTGCTTCTCTCCTGGACCGTCTTTATTTCTACCAGTGCAATACTGCATGCCTTAAAGGGACAGCTGTAAAGACGCGTGAGCACTGGACAGACACTTGTGTCCCCACCCTCCCCATCACGCACCAACACTGCAGGTTCTGGGCTCCTGCTGGTCCCGCCCTCTGCCCACCCGACCCGGCCCAGAGCACGCCGAGATGAGTTTTGGGTTCCCATCCCCACGTCCCAGAACACATGGCCACGCTTGTACGTGCAGGCTGGGCCCGCGTGCACGTTCCAGACGGTTCGACGCCGTGTGCAGCCTCGGGGCTGGCGAGTCCAGCGGCACGTCCCTAAGAGCAGCCCGTGCGCGGAGCTGCGTGTGGCCTGCTCGTCTCTACCGGTTTGCCACTCCGTGCCGTGGATGTACCACGATTTAGTTGCCAGTCCCTGCCGGCATGCTTGGGTTATTTCCAGTTTGGTGGCACGAACTTGCACGTGTCCCCTAGCAGTGCACATGCGCAAACGCTTCCTCAAGACGGTGGCTCTCAAACTGGACAGCAGAATCAAGGCACAGGAGCGTGTCCAAAAGCAGACGCTCACATCCCACAGATCCTGGGCCAGCAGCTCTGGGCTCAGAGCCGGGACCCTCATTTCCAGACACGCAGGTCTCCGGGCGTCACCCGTCACCACACCGCGTTCCGACTGTCTACCCGTGGTCGCCAGGGCAGGAGGCGCACACATCCAGACTTACGGGACGCGCTTTCCAATTTGCTGTTATTGCAGCCAAACCAGCACCACCGCTACGCGTCCCAACAGCCTGTACGCTGACAGTTCCCCCCAGTCTAATGGCTGTGAGATGCTATTTTGTCTTGGCCTTGATTTTCGTTTTCTGAGTTTATTTATTGGCTGTTCAGTTTCCTCTCGTGACATATCTGTTTGTGTCTGCTGCCCAATTTCCAACTCTCAGGACACGTGGAACCATGTTTTGTTTACAGTCCTGAACACTAATCTCTCGTGCGTTACGTGTGTTACAACTACAACTTGTGATTTATCATTTTATCCTATGGTGTCCTATAATCTTTAATTTTAATATGCTTAAATGTATCCATCTTTTCCAGTATGGTTAATGTATATTCGGATAGCTGTTTAATAAACTCGGAATTATAAAAATATTGCTTTATTTTAAAAAAATACTGTTTTTCCTTTAATAGATCATGTAGAATTGAGGTTTGCTGGGTGTGAGGTAGGGGTCCGAGTTCACTATTTTTTTCCGTTATTACGGGTAACCAGCAGCACGAGAACCATTAATTAAATCAGCCCCTTTATCAGTGATCTGTGATCGTAAGAGCTGAAAAATCTCAGGTTTTCACATCCGCATCGATGGACTTGGCTCTGTCTGCCGCACCGTCCCCGGCCGGTCCGCGTGTGGACACAGCCCCGCCGGGCTCACGGTGAATCTCTCCCTTTCTCGCTTCCCCTTCTCGGCACCTGCTTAACCCCAGCCTTGCCCTTCCTCGTACCTTGAGGGACCGGGTTGTAGAATCCCTCGGGAGACCCTGGGCTGAACAGAACTGCCGTGAACCTACCCGCCAACGAGGGGAGGTGACATTTCTACAACGCTGGCTCTTCCTGTCAATGTGCGCGAAAGCCTCCCACTTCTGTCTTTCTCGAATGTCGTCACAGTGTTCAAATACTCCCAAGGACGACTTTTAGCCTCTTTTCTTCCGCTCAGATGTTCCCCACCAGCACCTTCCATGTTCCGTGGCCAGCATAAAATGGGAACTTTTCGGATACTGGGGCATGTATTATGATGGTCCTAAAATTTAAAAAAAAAAAAAAAAAAAAACTATAAAAAGAAATACACTGAAACGTCTCTTGTGCCCCTGTTCTGACTTACACTTCCCAACCCCCTCACAGTGACAATTTTAATCATTTCTTTTTTATCTTTCCAAGCTGGTTTTCTTCTTCGTGGTTGCCCTTGACGTTTTATTACACACATTTAAAAACTTAAGGAGAAAACATCTAAACAATGTACTATATACTTGAAACTAAATGTACTATATACTTAAAAAAGAAATGTACTATATACTTAAATTTAAAAAAAAATGTGCTATATACTTAAATTAAAAAAGAAAAATCACTCGCTCTTCCACTCCCCCAGCCAAACAAAACTAGACATTTAAACCACTAACTCCCATCAGACACCACTCTGCAGGGATGTCCACTGGGTCGTGTGTCCATTTCAGAACCACTCCCGGCAACTGTCCTTACCGGGCCTCGAGAAGCCACGTCGGGGAAGTTCGTCCACGCCGTCCGCACGTCGCACCCTCCTGCGGGCCGGCCACCTTGGCCGAGCAGTCAGCACGTCCGCCTTATTCTCACTCAGACTTCTCGCTTCTAGTTCCGTCATTTTCAGGGGAGGGTCCTGATGGCCCAGTATGAGTGAACAGAGCATAAAGTGACCACTTGCTCAGAACCCGTGAGGGCGAGGGGCAGGCGTGGTGCCTAGAGTGTGACAGGCTGTATTTGTGACATGGTGGTGACGGAGTGCCCAGCAGTCCAGGCAGCCAACAAATTAAGCTAAGTTACTTAACGTCTCCAGACTGTGACTAAAATGTCCTAACACATCCATTACCATTTTCTTTAGGGAAAAACCCTTTTTAACCGCTCTGGGTTGTGCTGGAAACACCCTCTGGGTAGCTGAGGGGTGCCTGCGGTCAGAGCCGCGAGCTCGCAGGCGCCGTGCTTTCCATAAACGCGCCCGACATGGGGAGCACACAACCAACCGCCCGGCTCCTTCGGGCCAGGCCTCAGGCCGTGACTTCCCGAGCAGCCTGGGGCGGGGCCGCGGCTGGGCGCCTGCCGAGGTCCCTGCAACCTCGCATGACGGATGGGAGTGACAAGCAGCGCAGATCCTGATCTGCATTCTCCCGCAGAAAATGGAGTCGACTTTCAGGAACTTCCGAGCAAGAGTAACTGGTGATGAGAGACGCCTGCACTGTGCTGACGGTCAGCTCCCCCTGGCGATGTCTGGGTGGGGACGCGGGAACAGAGAAGCCCAGTTATGCGCCATCGAACACTGGCGCCACAGGCAGACGGGAGACAGAACACAGCTGAGGTTTTAGGTGTAAAATTAACTGTTTTCAAGTGGGCAATACCATAAATAGAAATTTGTTCAATCTCTGCGTCACCATGATGTTCAGCATCTGTTAACAAGGTTTCACCAAAGCAAAACATAAGGAAAAGACAAGTGAAATAATAAAAAAGAGACCTTTAGTGACATAAAACTTTACAATAGTAATTACGGAACGAAGACTTTAATGAATTCCATATTGCAATGAAAACACTGAGCACTGAACAATTACACCGACACGACGAGCACGCGCTCCCACACGGCACTTACAAACGCATACGCCCCCCTCGTTTTTCAGATTTCAGCAACAAATAATTTACACAGAGTTCTTCACATTGCGAAATATGTACAGAATTTTCGACTCTGCAGAAACGAAGGTGCAGTGGTTGAAAGAGAGTGTTGCTCTGTCCCGCAACGTGTCTCGTGTGAAATTCGCTACCAGTCCGCGCTTTCATTAACGTTCTTTCCACTACCGAATGAAATTCTGGACGTGTCAGAAGACAAAACCACTCTCGTTTCCAGACACTATTTCGCAAGATCACGTGTGGCTGATCACATAATCTGAGCCACGTACACACGCATTTGCACACGCGCACACACCCGATCCCCAGGCTCCTGCATGACCCTGGAATCACCACCACGGCCAGAGCAGCTGGATGGGACCCGTCAGAGGCCACGCAGCCGCTGGTGGGAGCGCGTCCTGCTCCCGGGACCCGGCTAGAGCACCACACGCCCTCACGGAGCCGAGAGGAGGTGGAGCAGCTGCCGGCGTGACGGGCGCCGGCCTGCACGGGACTGAACAGCCATCACAGACATGGATTTAGAAGCTTCGGTGTTTTTCATCGGGCAGAGATCTGCTTCTTAGGTTTGACTGAGCGGCCCGCGTGAGCGTTTCGACGTTCTTAATGCTGATTCTAAGGCGCCCAGTCGTTCACATTAAAACACGAGGGACCCGGAGCTTGTCACACTCACACCTTCGGGGTGTGGCGAGCAGAGGAGACAAGGCCGTTGCACATCTCACCACATGGCCACTTGAGAGAGCGGGCTAGAAAGTGACACTCAGGCCACACAGTGAAAAGCCTCTGTTCTCAGTGTGCTCAGGGCAAACGTCACACTTTAAAAATACAACCAATTCTTGAGCTTTTAGAACAAAGTCGCTCTGATGCGGTTCTCGGGTGTCCCCCAGTCAGCACCCTCAGCCCTGCATGACAGCACAGCTGGCTTTTCCTGCCCCGCCACGTCAAGGCTGTGCGGCCCACTTCAGCATCACCCGTGACTTGGGGCTGAGGTCCCAAAAGTTAGCTACTGCAGGGCCTGAGTGACAGGCCCCCCCCAGGGCAGCCTGCACTGTCACACTGCACCCCACTCAACGGCCCCAGCCCTGCGTCACCACAACACGGAACAAGCAAGGAAAGGGGTGACCCATGGTCGTTTTCAAGGTGACCCTCGTGTGCCTCCCCAAGGGGCCTGTCCCCCAGTGGACACACTCACAGGATTAAAAACACGAAGGCAGCACACTGAGGTGTCTTCATCAGCACTGACCCAACGACAACACGCACTCACGACCGCCAGGCACGGTGACCGCTAAGAAGGCAGGAGTGACAGGCCTGCACCAGCAGTGGGACGGGTGGCACTGGAGGTGGCCAGGCAGCTGAGACGAGGGTGTCCTGTCACCTGCGAATGACCGTCTGGCTCTGCTTCGTCGGCTAGTGACGCGCCTTTCATCTGCTGTCTCTCCTGCCTCCTGGGCTGAACTAGAAGTCGCAGCGCTCGGCTGGGCCGGTGACACCCCGAGTTCCGAGCACGTTTGTTTCTGAGGTAGTACTCGTTTATTTGCATTGCTGGCTCTCAAACACCACCAAGGAAGTGGACCCAGGTAGAAACACGCAAACCAAAGGTGCAGAAATAAATAAGGTTCCGTTTTCAGGTAGCAAGGCCCTCTCGAAAGGTCGAGTCACATTCAATGGGTAAATCATGTGAAACTTCTGAAAACTGTTTATAACCACAGCTATAAACTAAAGTGCTTTAAGTTTGGCTAAAGATCTGAAATCAATGATTAAAATCATTCTACTTTAGAATTTGCTAATATGAGACCTCAGGACATTGAAATGATTTTCTGTAAAAAGAACAAAAACTTTTTCTTTTCCAAAAGAAACTGAATGTTGCAAACTCAACATCCTATGCTATTTTCTTAGATTCTAAGATCCAGGTTAATTTCACAGAACTGTAACAGAAGAAAGAGCTGACGATGAATTACAGGACAGCACAGGCTTCGGCTTCACGTGGAAACGAAAGCGGGGTTTCTGAGCATTACTGCCGTCCGCAGCCAACAGACACAGCTCTGCAGTCTTCCCAGGACGAGGCGGATTTGTAGGGTTCTTCCAGAAATGCCAGACGACTCACGCTCACAGTGAGTGCGCAGACTCACACTGAATCATACAACTGGAACGCCTCCCGTCATCTGTCCAATGCCGGCGAGTCACTTGCGACGTGCTACAGAGAGGGGCTTGGTTCCCACTGACCAGAGGATGCCAGCACACACACAAGACAATAAAAATCATGACCACAGTTCTGTACATTTCATGCAAGCTGGGTACACTGTGAAAAGGACATATACAAATCACCCTTTGCAGGGTCCAGCTCTCACAAAAATGGCTGATCGGTGTGAGAAAGGCCTGCATCAGTTACAGGTCCATGGCAAACTATGCAACTAAGGAACGTCGGCCACCTTATTTTTCTTGTAATAACGCAGGGATGTTGATGTTCCAGCCAATGGCTTGCCTGTCAAACCCGCAGGTGAAGAGGTTGCACACGGGGTGGTCCTCGCTCCACGCTGAGCAGCACACCATCCTTCTGTGGCCCTATTACCAATCATACAAACCAGAATTAGTGCGTTATTCCTGAAGTATGCGAGCTATAACACTGCAACCGAACTAACACCTACACTACACACGGGATCGGGCAGAGCGAGCCGGAAATACTGAGCATGGCAACGGGCCCTCGGGAACGTGCTGGCAGAAAGGCTTTGCCGTCACGAATGAAGTCAGACGCAGCATGAACTAGCAAGACGCACACAGAAAGCACTTTGTGGTTCTTTATGAAAATGAATAAGATTCCAGTCAGCCAGAAAAATAAATATATGATCAATATGAAATGTTTTAATGAATAAATTAAGCTATGTAAATTTGGGAATAAATTCAATGAAATTCACTCAAAGACTTCCAATACCATTTTAGCAAATAATTGGTTCCGGCGTTAAAGCAGCTAGGAAGGCACGTTTGGTGGCAAGTAAAACAAAAAACAAATCGTCTCTCAGGAATTGCAGCTAAACACTGGAACGTCAGAAAAGCTTAGCACCGAGCATCTGGACGGTTTACCGTGCAGTGTAAGAGATCAAGCAAGGCCTCAGCACACGTCACACGTGGCCGGACACGCGGCTGTCGCGGTACCGCACAATGAAGTGTGAGAAGCAGGGCAGTGACCGCCAACAGAGACGAAGCACAAAGCCCCCGTGCAAACAGCCCACGTGAGCAGTTCCACATGCGCCTTCGTGAGAGGACTGGACGGGCTCCTAGCATGAAAGCGCTGCAGGAAAGGGACCCAGGGCTAAGGGGACGCACGCCCCCTTCTGCGTCGGGCCTGAGAGCACGGAGCGGGCACTGGTAGTTGGCCATGAAGCCAAAGCCCTGGGAAGAGCAAGGCACGTGCGGGACAAGCGCCAAAGCCCGGTGCTCACTAACAGTGCGGGAAAAGCCTGGGCGGCACCGGAGGGCAGGCCACGATCAGGGCTCAGGCATGTCCCCGCGGGACGCCCACTCTGGGCCCCGGCACTGCCTCTGAGCCCACGTGGCCCCCCGAGAGCTCACAGGCGGGGCCCAAGAGGCTCCGGACACGTGGCCTCTGAAATGCTCCACGCCTGCCAAAGTCCCAGACACCGGCGAAGTCCCCGAGTGCCACCTGCAGGCACCAGCCCTCTCCTCCCCAGAGCTCCCCGCCGCGGTCCACGCCCCAGGAAACGTCACTTACACGTTCCCCAAAAAGCAATTTCACCTCGTGAGCCCATCACCCTCGCTACTAAGTTCAACTAAGTGTCACTGTCTGTTTTTAAATCTGTCAGCTGAAAAAAGCTAGGATGACAGGAACCGGAAATTTCCAGCTGTGGTTCTGTGACACTGAAAATCCTATTTATTCATCTGCAGATGTGTTCCAAGTTCACAACGGAACGAAAGGTCACTTGCCAACCTCAAAGGCAAGCCTGCTCACGAGCCACGTTAGAGACACATCGAGCGAACAGACACCTACAACCGCAACGAGGCCGTGCGTGACAAAGACCGAGCCTGTCACGGGAACTGGTGCCGAGAAGTCCCAACCTCCAAGGGGATGGGCTCAAGGGGGGGAAGACACCGCCCCCACATCGCGTTTCTGAACACAGACACAGCAGGGGGTGTGCCAGGGACGCCCAGCAGCCACCAGACACCAGTCCTGGGCAAGCGACCGCACTGGTCAGGGCGGCACAGCTCTTCACAGTCACCCGACTCTCGTGGGTCCTGTGGGACTTGCACTCATGAACCACCACCTTCAGGCAGTGTGCATGGGAGCACGCAGAAACGGCGTGCTCTCAGCAAGGACAGAGGGCTGTCACACAGCGGGTCTCACTTGGAGAAGAGGTATTGCTGTCAACAGCCAAACCCATTGGACGGCCCACCTTCGGGACTACCCAGGCCTGTGGTCCCTGAGCCCCGTTCCACGGGGCCGGCCTGTGGCTCATGACCACGCTGAGGGTCCCCCGGCGGTGGGACGGGGCAGCCACATCAAGGGCACGAGCAGCCGTGTGGGGACCTGGGGTGCAGACACAAAACTGCAGCGTCAGGGCCCTGGCCCCCTTAGAAAGAAAGCAGCGGCACGGTGACACGCAAAGGACAGTGACCGTGTGCTGGGGCTCAGTCAGCCACAGAGCCGGGAGAGAGGCTGCCTGGGGCAGCAGGTTCACCTGCCGCAGCTCCACCCATCCCCACCCACGGGAGGAGCTGCAGTGTCACCGCCAGGGCTGTCAAACGCGGAGCCCCCAGGGACGTGATCCAACATAGGCTGCTGGGCACCCTATAGGCACGAGGTCAGCAGGTCTGAGCCGACGGTGCAGCCCAGGCAAGCGTGACAGGCGGTGCCGGCGCCACGGTGCACACTGGCCCGACTCCCCTACACCATCTGGGCCCAACGCACAGCCACCCGCCTCCCAGGAAAGCCACCAGCAGTGGACTCGGTCCTGGCAACCCGCCATGGAGAGGGCTGTCCCGGCTAGGGCAGAGGGGGGCGTCCTGCCCTGAGGAGTCTGCGCAGGCCGACCACACAGACGCCTGTCATTCACGTGCTCCCAGGGAGCAGGAGCTCAAAAGCAGCTCCCCGAGACAGCTTTCCAGGACGCACCCACCAACCCACGCGAGCCAGCTCCCAAAACGCAGCTGGTGAACTGGATGCCTGATTCCATTTGGGTTAAACTTAAAAATGGATACTCAGTTCAGGTTCTGGGAAAATTTTCTGATGTTAAATTTTAGGAACGCTAAACACATCAAGTATTTCCAAATGAAATCTACTGTCCCGACTTAGTAAGAACGGGAAATCGCTAATAAGTTTGTATCGATGACATGTTGACGTGACGTTATTTGGATATACTCGATCGAAGATGCTGTGACGATAACTCGTTTCCTTCCTGTCAGAAAGCTGCGCCCGCACGGCCTGCAGCAGGCGTCCACGAGCCCCGGGGCCAGGCCGCAGCACCCTTACCTGCCGACTGCTGCGGGGCAGCCGCGCCAGCCGCACCCCGGACATGTCGAACAGCCTCACTTGCCGGTTGTCGTGCGGCAGGGCAATGATTTTCTGGCCAACGCATACGTTGATCCTGCAAAGAAGAAATGAAAATGGGTCACATGTGAAGCAGCGACAGCACGAGTTCACGCGCATTTCAGCACAGAACACACTGCAAACCGCGAGATTCACTTACGTAGGCTTTAGGGCCGGGGACCTGCTTACTCACACGGAACTTACAGGTAACACACACGCACGACCCGGTCACAAACAAAAACTGTGGGATGCTGACACTCTTACTCTCAGAAGCCACTACGGCAACCGGAGTTTACATTTGAGTCTCAGCATTTACATGACACTGAATGCGCTTCAGAGGGTGAACGACTGTTGTGTCCCAGGCGTCGAAGCCACTTCCCCAAGGCCCTATCGATTACACACCGATTCTACATACAAGATGTGGCACTACGACCAACCCAAACCAGCCTTCACGTCAAGGCAACAGCTGAGCCACAAGCAACGTCCCTCACCTGTTGATAGCGGAGTCTGTCCGAATGGTTGCAATGGGGGACCTCATGTTCTTCAGATCCCAGACCTTGACAGTGCGGTCATCACTGCCCGAGACGACGTTATCCCCGACGGTGAACACGGCGGAGGTCACAGTGCTACAAGAAAAGCACGGGGTCAGAGCCGCGGGCCGCGCCCGAGTCCGCCAAGAGCGGATCGCAGCACCTGAGCACACACAGGCACAGAGAGGAAGGGAGGTGACAGCGGCGTTGACCAGCATGATCGTGGTGCCACCTCGGTGTGCCTGCTCCAACCTCACGCCATTCACCGTAAGTATACTCAAGCCTTACTTCTCAATTACAGCTCAACAAAAAAGAAAACATTTTAAAGATAAAAAGAAAGGGTCAAGAACATAACTTCAGCACCCCTGACAACTCTGGCCCCAAATAATAGCCTCCTAGAATATTTAAGAGACATATTTTTTTCAGAGGCACAAAAATTGATTACAAATCAATCATATGTTTCATATACATAACCTCATTATATAATTTCAAACTATTTTTATTTCACGTAGAGCCTAAAACAAGGAATAAACATTTCAGATTCAGAAAACCCAGGTCCAACCCAGACCATGGGCCTAAAACTGCTCCACCAGCGCTACACACGTACAGAGTCCCCACCAGGGGGGCCTCAGCTCCGGCACGGCCGATGTGGGGTGACCACTGCCATGGGCGCCCCACGTACATGGGCTGAGCAGCCTCCCCGCCCCCTCCCCCATGGGACGCCACGTGTAACACGACAGGGAGAACCTGGAGCTTCCACCCAAAGCCCATCTGACTGCCCTACTTAAAAACCATCAACGCCAGGGACTGGCCGGAACGGGGGTCACGGCCCCCGCGCACCGCAGTGAGGTCAGAAGACCCTACCCTGGCCGAGGGGGAGCAGCATCATGCACCTGAGTCTCCAGGAGGAGCAGGCCAAGCTCAGCGGAGACCGCTCTGCTAAATTAGCAGGGGCGTCTCCACAAAAGACCGCCCAACCCTGTGTTAATGAAACGCTGAGAGACGTTAGGTCTCTAATAAATCACAGCCCTGACAGGTATTGTGGGCATCCGAGGGAGAAGCCGGCACCAGGCAGTCTCCCGCGGGAGCACAGGCACCACGGCCCCGCACTGGGAAGCTCAGACTCTGCCGAGCTCCAGCCGACTCATTTATCTTGTCGCCAAGAGCCGCCGCGCATGTGCTTCCAACTGACAACGCGAACCTCCTCGCCGCACACCACTGCCCGGTCTG